GTAGTAGCAGTAGTAGCCGTAGTAGCAGTAGCAGTAGCAGCTGCAGCAGGTAGTGGTAGTGGTAGTGGTAGTGATAGTGGTAGTGGTAGTAGTAGTAGTAGTAGTAGTAGTAGTAGGAGTAGCAGTAGTAGCAGTAGCAGTAGCAGTAGTAGTAGTAGTAGTAGTAGTAGTAGTAGTAGCAGTAGCAGAAGCAGTAGCAGTAGCTGTAGCAGTAGCAGTAGTAGTAGTAGTAGTAGTAGTAGTAGTAGTAGTAGTAACAGCAGCAACAGCAGTATTCGTAGTATATATTACTATTAGTAGTGATAGCAATAGCGGTAGCAGCAGCAGTCGTGGTGATGCTCATAGGAGTGCGAGTAGCAGCAGCAGTAGCATCATCAGCAGTGGTGTCCCCACGCTATTGTCCGCGAGGGTCCTGCTCAGCAACACTGGCCCCTTGTGGTATGCAGCAATTCTTTCCTGAGCTGAAGGCCGTTCTCGCGGAAGAGGGGAACTTGGTAAGTAGTCTAACAGTCGATCATCTATCAAACGCCCTTATCACAACCTTACTCCATCTACTCTGAATTATTGACTAGCTTGGGGGCTATGCGGAACAGTATAGTAGTAATACTACGTATAATGCACTACTCCTTATTCAAGCCTCTATCTTGCGGGCTCCAGCTGATGGTAAGTCCCCTCTCGGCTGCAGTGCCAAGAACCCAAAACATGAAACTTAACCAAGACGGCTCCTGGGTTTTCGGGTGTTAAGAGTTCAGGCTTCAAACTCATGGTCAAACGGCGAAACGACGCAAGACGAGGCACCCCCCTTGCCTTGGTGCGGCAGTTTCAATGTCCGCCCGCACTTGTGGGGATATCCTCGGCGCGGGAGTACCACCATGAGGATTGGCTTAGCGCTTGGAGTTTATATGGCTGCAGTCAGTGCCTTCCAATTGTGCCGGGGGCTTTGTCACGGACGGTGCAGTTGGGGTGTTCAGGGAAGTGCGCCAGGTTAAAGTTGCGCGGCTTCAAGTCAAAAGCGCTACGAAACAGCCTGAACTTGGAAATGGAACACCATTGGCCCAGATGCTATAAACCACAAACAGTGTTTAGCTTGGCCGGATAGCACCAACACGACTGAGTTCTTATGCTTTCAGCTCGATTCCTCCACACCCTGAGAATGAGAACCCCCGCAAAGAGGTGAAATCGAAGAAATGGGGTTTCGAGAGCGTTTCGCAGACGATGCAGGAATAGGTGAGGCCACAGGTTCAGGTTTCCTTTTAGTGCCTGCCCAGCTTGTACCCCGTATACAGCTTTCTACATACAGACCTCTACGGCCTGCATGACACTCATCTGTAGATGTAAGTGTATATGCATGCACGCACATATTCAAACACCTACACGTGTGTGTGTGTATATATATATATACATATTTATGTATTTGTTTATTTAACAAGGAAGTCTTTCTCAAATGAGGTTGCCTTATAAAAAGCGACCTGTATCAAGAATGGTTCTTTGTAGTAGAGACTAAACCCCAAACCCTAAACCCGAAAATCCAAACATGGCTGGGAAGCCGTGGTCGCCCGTTCGACAGCAGCCATCACCGCAGACGACGGAGCCCGTTGTGCAGCACTTGGGCTTACAAAATGTACCTTAGTCCAAGCTTCAGTTGACGGAAGTTTTGCTTGTTGCTTGCACTGTTATGCAGGCTGTGGAAGGCGTGAGGTGGCTTCAAGAGTCTTCACCAGGTCGGGCTGTATAAACAAAGCCGATCGACATGCCTTCATGTCTTATCGTTGTATACAGTGTGGTGCAAAGCCTGCAATCTCGTGTTGGGTCACCACGACGAAAGGGAGAGTTGAGGCCTGAGGGCTTAGTGCTCCGGTGCAGTGGCCATGGCTCCACAAAGCCCACTGGTAAACCCAACGTTTTCGCTTTCGGTATCTTTCGGTTGTAGTTTTGGACCAGACTTGTTGCACGACCTTGTGGCCTCCTACATGTGTGGATGCACGATGCCGTCTCCACAGCAATTCTAGCAATTCCCGTAGCGAAAACTCTTCGACACTTTACACTAGACTAGACACAAGCCGGAACCACACAAGAACATGGTATACTACGGCATAAGTTAGCAATAGCACGGAACAAAACAACAGCAATAATAATAGTTCTTATCATAGTCATTGTGGTCGTCATGGGGGAATGATAACGGTCATAATAGCGAAACCAAAAACAAACATAAAAAGAGTAGCCGAAAGTAGTAGCGTAAATAGTTACAACTTGACTAGTAGTGACAGAACTTGTAGTAGTAGTCATTGTCGTAATCTTAATCATAAAAACAGTTAAAGTAAGCACAGGAATGGTGTTAGTGATGGCATAGTCGTGGTTATAGTATATGTAAAGGTAAGAACCAAAGTAGTTGCAACAGTACTGGTAGCAATGAAAGTAGAAGTGGTAGCAATGGTAGTAGTAGTCGGCGTCGCGTAGTAGTAGTAGTAGTAGTAGTAGTCGTCGTAGTAGTAGTATAGTCGTAGTAGTAGTAGTAGTAGTAGTAGTCGTAGTCTTCGTAGTTAGTAGTGCTAGTAGTGTTAGTAGTCGTAGTAGTAGTAGTAGTAGTAGTAGTAGTAGTACTAGTAGGTATGAGTACCGCTGGTAGTAGTACTAGTAGCAGTAATAGCGGCAGCAGCAGCAGCAGCAGAAGCAGTGGTAATAGTAAGAGTAATGCAACGGTCGCAGTAGTATAGTAGCGATAGTAGCAGTAGCAGTAGCAGCAGCAGCAGCAGTAGCAGTAGCCGTAGCAGTAGCAGTAGCAGCAGCAGTAGCAGTAGCAGTAGCGGTAGCAGTAGCGGTAGCAGTAGCAGTAGCAGTAGCAGTAGTAGTGGTGGTGGTGGTGGTGCTGGTGGTGGTGCCGTGCAGATTTTTT